TAGACTGACTAAGATGCATTTCCCCCTAGCCTTCTTCTGCAAACAAATCAAACAAAACCCGAAGCTATTTGTATGTGTGAGAATTTCAGATCATTTTCCAACAGCATATCACACAACTGTAGAAGTTGAAAAAAGGAATTCCACTTAGTTCTGATTGTAGTAACTCAGCAATATGCAAGTAATTCCAAATAAAAGGGCCAATAATCTTCATTCATTAGAAAAGTATAACATGAAGGAAAAATAGTAAGCTCAACTTTGCAGTCCAAAGATGCCCAGAGATGCTCCAAGAAGCATATGCAAATCACCCTATGGTGATATACTTGAAAGTGAGTCCAAAACTACTATAGATTTTTTAAAAAGCTTCAATTTTTGGGCAGACAGGACGTCTTCCTTTGACCCAGAATCCGTCTCTCATATAGGCAAAAGAAACTGATGCTTAGCTTGTTCCTGGACTGAACCTATTGAATAATTTGGATTATTATCTCAGTCCAGACTTCTTCTGTCTGATCCTCTCTCTGCTTGAAGCCTGTTGTCTTCTCAACCCCTGACCACACATCTCGGGTATTGTTCTGCAAAACCTTGCTTTGGGCTTGCCCCTTTATACCAACATGTCTTCTATCATCTTGTCCTTAAGTTGCTTCTGCATCCCACTTAATAATTCCACATCTACCGCCCTGAAGGTGCTTTGTTTTTTGTATCCAGGATTTATCATTGGGGAAGGATCTCACTGTCATTGTGGGAATTGTTTTAGCCAAACAGACATTTATATAGTCTGTTACAGACTCAGTCATTGCAGTAATGTTTTCTCTATGTGGACGACAAAGTGCATTGTAGTCAATAGCCTCAAAGCAACCTTGCAGGGCTTCTTCAACGTCCTGTGACCATCTACTTACAGTTCTCTTTGAAACAGGTTGCCTCTAATAATGAGGATTCAGGGGGAAGTCTAGCAACCCGAGTGGCTAAAGGCCAATTTATGCTTCTGACGCATAGCCTCTGCAACTGTCAATTCTGTCTCTGTGTGCCACCACGCCCAGAGGTTCTGCAACCATCGTCGCTCACCTCAAAAAAATCCTGACTACGTATCTGATGGTCGCAAACCCGCGCACACCTTAAGCGGAAGTGCGCGGACAAAAAACTGTTGTGATTGGTCCCTGGTATGCCTTTCCGGCTGTCTTTGGGGTCGTCCTTCTCGATTCAGTGGCGGGGCGCACCATTTTTAAAACCGAGGACCAACTACAATGGACAACTATGACGGAAGATTAATTGAGGAGGTTCGGAAGTACATCCACTTGTACGATGCCACAGACAAATTATATAAAGATTCCAAGGTTTCTGTCAAAACAAAGTTCTCATGTCCGCCAAAGTTCTCGCGAGTTCTCGAGTCTCCCTAGAAATTCCAGACCGAGCATGCAGAAGCATACCAGCAAAACTGATTCACAGCCAGACGGAAGTGACATTTGATGTGTGTGGTTGCACAAGTCTAATCTGACCTTAAATGTTACAGTGTTGCTTTAAAGAGAAATCTGCATCACCTTAACCGGCAGATTAAGGTTTTGACTCTGGTGTGTTGAAACAGAACGCTCTAAAAGAAGCAAGACACTATGCCTTTAGGACTGGAATTAAAGATGCCTGCTCTACATGTTACAAATATTTTAACTACAAATAGCACAAGAAAACACTTATTATACTACATCTCTACCCCCATGCACCTTAGAGCTGTTCCAACTCAGAAATATTTGCCCTCTATGCGTGTCTGATCATGTTTTCCTCTTTATTGCCAACAGGGCTGAAAATACAAAACAAAGTCTCTCTAACTACAGATATGTCATTTTCACAGTCCCATGATGGAGCCATTTCCACTTTATTGGGCTGTAATAGAGAGTAAAACCCACTGGAGGGAAATGGACAGCTGCTAAGGGAGGGAGGGAAGCCTTAGAACTGGACCCCAGCCTGCAGAGTCTATTTGGTTGTGGAGGGATGTTGTTTGCTCCCTGCTGTGGTTTGGAGCTAAGGAAGCAGCTGTCACTGTGTTTTCAATGCCGGAGAGTGAAACAAGGCAATCAAATAGCCATTTTAGTTAAAAAGATTATCGACTGAGGCATATCTATGTTTAAAAAAAAACATTTCCAGAGTGAAACTGCTGTGTTTATCAACTAAACACAGATAATTGCTAAAATCCAACATGCAGAAGATTACGCACCTTTTGAATCAATTATATCAATTATCAAACATCCCCCTTTCATGCTTGAAAAGACATTATGTGGAAGTACTTACAACATTCACCAAAAAAGGGAAAAAAAAAATCCTGATGTTTAAGGTTGGGGGGGGGGGTCCAAAATCTCTGCTGAAAGCCTGAATTAAGCATTAAATAATTTGTATTGCATTTCTTTATATTGAACTGATAAAAA